CATGTGGAACCAAGTAAAATCAAAGGTAATAACGGAAAATGTTACTCCTACTTTAAGTCCTAGTATTATAAATTTGATAAAAAATATAATTAATAACATACCAATACCAACGTATGAAGCACCTAAAAAAATAAAATAAGGAGGTCCATTCAACATGCGCAGGAGCGAGATTTAAAATCTTGTGTTTAGCTAATGACTTTGCGGCATTCAACAACCAAAATGGCCGCTGACAGATCAACAATAAGTTTGGATGCGGTGTTTTTTAAGGCAGCATTTTCTAAAAGTAAGTCCAGATCTTGTTAAATCATCAAGCAAAAAGGAGTTTAGTGTGTGGATATCATTGTTTAGAAAGAACATAGCGCAAAGTGGGTAAAAATCTCTTCGAAAATATCAAGTATAGTCTGTTCATTGACATAAGAAAGTGACTAATTGCTTTTGAATGGGATTATCCAAGGGTGGTCATTAACATACAATGCAACAAGATTATTACCTAAAATTTCGGAATTTAAATTCAGGTAAAATTGTGGTCCGTAATAGAAAATAATTTTATACACACCTGTGTTTAATATTCTTTGGTTTGGTATACTACTTAGTTTAAATTTATTGGTAATCATTCTTATTTCGTGTGTAATACAGCGTGCGTGGAATCGTGTGCGAATTATGCAAAAATGTGCGAGACTAGTGTATCTCCCGCCCAAATGTAGAAAACACTATTCTATTGAGACTAAGGAAGTTATAAACAATGTTTATTTGACTCGCATTGAACGTGGTGCCAGCAAGCAAGCATCTTTAGAAGAAACGGCCACCTTGACGAAAATTCCAACATCAACTATATGGAAAATTGTGAATAATCCCATTTCAGCGAGGAAAAAAAGAAGCGATGCTGACATTTTCTCGAGTGTAGATGAAAGTGATCAAGATATAATACGGCGTAAAATTTACCAGTTATACGAGGAACAAAGCGTGCCTCCATGGGTTTTAGATTTAAAAAAATTGACGAAAGGCAAATTTTAATGGAATCTTTTAGAATTCGGAAATGGCGACTGGAATATCTAGAAAAAAATAAGATATACAGAGAACAACAAAGGCCACACTTATGATACCCCGGAAAAGGGTTGGGTTGATTCAACTGATAAGTGTAAAACAAACGCGCCATCAAAAAGAGGTAAAAGGATAACTATTTTGCATGCTGACTCTAGAGATGGTTGGATTCCAAATGGACTTTCTCTGTCTGCAAAAAATAAAAATTCTTCTCTGGATTACCATGAAGGCACCAAAGCCGATTTATTGGAAAGTTGGTTTAAAAACAAACTAGTTACAAACATTTCTCTTAATAGCGTAATTGTAATGGACAATACAAGTTATCACAGTAGACAGTTGACTAAAACCCCTTCCACATGTGACACAAAAGCAACAATCCAAAACAACATGTATAATAACGACATTTATTTTCACGAAGATTATACCAAAAAGCAATTAATTGAGGTTCTACAAAGATTGAACCTACAAAAGGAATACGTCTGTGATAATTGTGCTAAAAATCTCGGGCATACAGTTTTAAGGCTTAAGACACTGTATATTTCATCCCATTGAACATGTTTGGCACCAGTTGAAATCTGCCATTCGTGGTAACAATGTTTTTCCCCGTCTTAACTCCAATGTCCTCAAACTTATATAGAAACCGAAGTTTTTAACATCCCTCCACAAAGTTGGGCAAATTCTGTTAAACATACAGAAAAAGCAGAACAATCGTATATTCATATTTCAAATAATATAGAACAAATAATAATTAGAACAGGCGATGATAGCAATAGTGATACTGATATATTATGTGAATAATTTTAAGTAATATATGTAGGTAATAAAAATAATTTGTAATTTTATTTTAGATTTAAACACAAATACACACATAAATAAATAAATATTGTTTAGTATCTTTCCTAACAAAACCCCAAATAATTAAATTCTAAGCAAAGTACGGACCTGTTCGGCCATATTTCATTCTTACAGCTTGCCCGGATATTTCTTAATTCGTATCAGTTAGTCACTTTCTTATATCTATAAACAGACTTTAACTTCCACAATTGCGGGCAAAAACCAGCTCGATGAAAATTGGGCAAGACTATATGCCAAGTGCGGGATGAAGCCCTTTATGTGTTTCGTGATAAATTCTCAGATTTGACGATAGAAGGCGAAGTATAACGGTGTTACGAACGAACCACGCCCAATCATTCATGACGGAAAATCAGCCGTTTAACCGTTAAAATTTTGCTGAAAAATGAAATATCACGAATTGCTACTTGGCTGGCGGCCACCATCGACCTTCTAACGTAAGCTGTAAGTAATCTCCTCCCAAATTAATAGTGTTGCCTTTCTTCGATAAACTAAAACGTTTCAACACACCCGAATAAGGCAGTCAGGTACAACCGGAAGCCTGAGTTATTGTTCTGAAAAGCATTTCGGCCCGAGTTCGCGTGCTTTCTTCGAGCCGTGGTTATACTGTTGTTGCACGCGTTGCGCACACGCCGGTACGATCGCCCGATTCGCTCCACTTCCGTACCATTACATTTTCTACAACATCATTGTTTGGTTACTTTTTAATTGCTGAGCTAGAACGTTACTACGCCGGTTAGTCACGAATTATTAACTTTTTAAATTATATTTGTTGTTTTGGTTCTTCTCGTTAACGATTCTGATTTCATAAGTTTCATACGTCGAAAATATTCATTAATCAGTTTTGGTTTTTAGGTGACTATACTACCGCAGGCCTATTTTCAAATTTCCTGGTTATTGAGCATCCTATTCCTATTCGTTGCAATTTTACTGCAGTTCTCATTTTATCGGTTTTTGTGACTTGTCATTATAATCCAATTCGAGCCTTCTAATTTTGTTTCTTATTGCTCTTATATTATTGGTTATAGTCCAAATTAAGTTATATTGTATACTACGTTTTGGAAAATTATGTTTTGTTTCCTTGAGTCAGAGCTTTGTTCTATAGCAGTCGACGAAGCGCTTTTGGACCATGTTTTCCTCGTACTGCATTGGTCATTATAACTCTTGCTACCTTAGTCTATTGCAGATCCTAAATGCTTAAAAATTTGGCAGCTATTAATAATAAAATGTTGTAAAATAAATTCGGATTTGTCAATATTTATTTTAGGTTTCCACAATGCGTATTGTTCTTCCAGTTTTCGTACCATCTTTTCTTTTTCCTGTGCAAAAATAACTTGATCATCTGCGTAGCAAATGTAGAGCATTCCAGAACCTAGGGGGACAAAACGATACTGGAATGGGAGCATCCAGCACTAAGATGATAAACATACATTAGAAGAGGGGGACAAGAATGTAAGAGAGCTGTGGAGGAAAAAAACGACGAATTCGTTACTTCCTCTATATTAATTATTAGTAAAAATTAAATATAAGCAATTTCTAGGTACTAATGTTTTTGAAGCAGTAGACCAAAAAGTTTTAATTTGCTCGTTGATAACAGAGAAATTACAAAATTTTCAGGGATATAAGACCGTGTGATGGAAACTTAGAAATTTAGTTGAATAAAAAGTCCAAGTAAATTTAAAAAATAATGAATTTATTGTTTCTACTCCCGTCTGTAAAATGTCGAATTACACACCGATCTAGCGTGCGGGAAGCGTCACTTTGCCACTTTAGTTTCGGTTCTAATGGATCCGAGCCTCTTCGGACATTTCCGGTTCCGACGGTCATGTCAGTGAATGTATTGGTGCTATTTTGCTAAAATGTACTCAAAAACTATCCTTTTAACTTTTTAAGTCACTCGTTCATTAAACACTCGCTGCGCTCGTGTCAAATAAACTCGTGAGTCAAATGCCGTTACCGCACTTTTTGCATAATATACTATTATTTTTATACGGATTGTTAAAGAATAGAGTAAAAAGCGGTACAGTCATTGAATAAAATACAAATAATCAGTCTCTCAATTTTCCTCTGTATATATAAAAAGCCCTTCGAAAGCAGTGTAAGCACTTGGTATGTTCAAAGTCACTTTTTCAGTTATTTTTTGTATCTCCTAACAAGCAAAAAAATTATTTCGTTATTAACAGCATCCGCAGTTGCCTTTTTGAGTGTGGTAAACGGCATTTGAATCACGATTTTATTTCGCTTAAGCGGAGCGGGAGCTTAATAAACGACTGTCTTAAAAAACTTTCCAAACGTGTTGCGTACTATATCCAGTGACATGGCAGTCAGAATTGATAAACATCAAAATTCAAGCCGGAATAACGAAACGGAACGAAAATGACGTGCTAAAATGACAAATAATTAGGTATTTTATAGAAGAGAATAGAAAATTTTATATATACTTCAAATAGATCATTCCGATTCCGAACGTTTAAATAAGGTTGCTCAAAGCAAAAAAACGAGCCTAAAGAAATCTACACGATATAGTTCTTGTGACCTGCCCTTGCAGGCCAGATAAATAAATTTACAAATACATACATAATATGTTTCCAATATGACCGCAGTATTTTGAGGAGTTTGGAATGTGATTCTGGTATTCGCTGCATAACTAAATGACTGGCAACTCGAAGCTTGTAAGCCAAAATTTATGGATTATTTTCGGAGGTAAATAAACATGTTTGCAAAACGAAAAAAATATATTTGAAAAAGGATTTCGGCATACTTCGGTAGCCAAGTTTTTTTTTATCTCCCGCAATATGTATTCTAGAATTAAATAGAGCAAAGTATGTATACAGTTTATGTTGTTTTGTAGTCGGGAAACTAACGAGGCCCTAATTAAAACTATATTTGCTTAGAGCGCAATACTTTTCACTGTTAAAGCACTATACCGTATCGAAAGCTTTAGTAAATTTTCCCACCATGATTTATGGATTTAAATGAGTAAACTTTTTTATAGTTACAGTGCCATCTGGTGTCTACTCCTAGACATCCTCATTTCGTAGCCAATAAGACATCCAACATAAAACCATGAGAGTTTTGAATGAAGAGTCCGATTCTGTTTGTTTCAGACATTCCGTGACCAGCGGATAGATGGCAGCGGACTACCGCTTCTTACCGAAGAGCATCTGACGAACACGATGGGCATGAAACTTGGGCCCGCATTAAAACTCCGCTCAATGTTGGCCAAAAAGCTGGGTTCGTGTAACGTCTGCTTGCACTGTTCCCATTGTCACAATTCGGGGCAATCGCCAGAGCCCGGAAATAACACCGGAAATACGTCCGACTCCGGGGGGACGTCCTGAAAGTTGTTTTATAAATTGATGACTTTTTTTAAGGAACCGTCTGTTGTGAAAATGGCGAGTGTGATTAGGGGCGTTTTGATAAACGAGTGCGATAAGATTAGCGAATTTGAGATTTATAAATTAAAAAATAAAAATTGTTTACGTTGAGTTTTGTTAGGAGGTGTAAAAAGCCAACGCGCCAACATTTTTATCCACTATAGTGAGCCTATGATTTTCTATTTCCATTTTCTATAAGTAACAACTCATTAGCAAGCGATAATAACTAAAATGATTAATAACAATGATATCACATTCTAGTTATTTATGTTTATGTTTAGAATGATGCTACCTGCATATGTTACAGAGTACATTGGAGTTATTACATCTCTATAGAATTGTGTTGTACCAAAAATATGGAATTACTTGGAACCCTGTATAAATTATTCAAAAAGTAATGCTTTTTATCATATTGCTTCTCATTCAAACTCTTAAAAATGGTTTTATTTGTCTGGTCAAAGAATATGTTGAATTGACTACTAATTTAACTGTATTGAAGAATTGAAACTTTCCTTTTCTAATTTGGATCTAATTAAAATATTAAGTGCTCTAGTTTTCTGAAAAATCTTTTGGTTAGTTTTGATTAGTCCATTATTAAGGTTTTTATACACAAGAGACTTCGGAATATAACCTCATGCATGCTTTTCTTTCTTTCTTTCTTTTAATGTTTGCACTTGTAAAAAAAAAATGTTGACTAGCAAGTTAGACACAGAAAATACAATAAAGGCAATTTTTATTTCTTAAGATTAGCAATTTGGGTGGGAATCCTAAAAGTATTAGCTGCTAAAATGAAAACCACTGTTCGATTTTAACAAACTATATAAAAATAATAAAAAAATGAGTATTGTATGTCAACTGTATTCAAAGTAAACAAAAATTGCAATTAATAATGGATTTATGAAAACACATTATTTCAGATTTTGTATTTTTATTTTATGTTGTGCAAAATTACGATTGAAATGTTCATAATATATTATGCAACAAGTGCGGTAAACGCCATTTGACTCACGAGTTTATTTGACACGTGCGGAGCGAGTGTTTAATAAACGAGTGACTTAAAAAGTTTATTGAATGTGTTGCATATTATACTTTTTCTACGACCGTCACGAATACATTTCCTGACATGATCGTCAGAATTGACAAACGTCAAAATTCAAGGCGCGGGAAATAGCTCCGAAAACATCCGATCCCGTGCGGTAAAATCCCGGAAATGTCCGAAGTGGCCCGTTTCCGTGGGAAACGACACTGACGTGGTAAAATGACGCTTCCCGTTCACTAGATCGGTGTATAATTGGGTATTTTACAGACGGGAGTAGAAAAAAAGATTTCCCCTACTTGGTACTAAATAATGAACGAACAAATCAATGAAAACAAAAGCTTTAATCAATTTAAATTTATAAGCTGACATTACCAAAACGACTATTTTTCAGTAAAAATTGTTGTATTGCTTTTCTAAAATTCAAGAACCCTAATGTTTTCTTAAGGCTTTAAAATTTATATTTGTAAAATTTGTACACCTTAGGCTGTAAACCTGAAAGGAAAAGGAAAGGGAGTTTGGCACAAAAAGTAAATAATTTTTGAAAAACTTTTTTAAATGTTTAATTTTATATCTCATCAATTTTGAAATACCCTGTATAACCCGAATTATAACATTTGGCCACAATCAATCTTAACTCGTGGGCGGCACAAATTTTAATATATCTGATAAGTTAATAGAGCAGCTATGGAGAAAATGTAATATACAAAATATCTAAGTTCCTAAATAACGAATAGTTTTGGTAAGATTTACAAATGTTAAGAGTGTAATATATTTTCTGAAAATTTTCTAGCTTAGATTTTGATAATATTTGCTCAATACAATAGAGTATCCGATTCTTTACTGAATTACGTTTGGAACCATGTATTTATATTACATGGAAGGAACTAGCCTTGTAACATTAAACAAAACAAATGTAATTAATGCCTTAATATCACAATGAAATGTTTGCAATATGAGATATTTGTACATAGTATAATAATATTTCTTAAAATGTAAAAATAAAAATAATAAAGAAAAGACGTTATCGATGTAAAGTACAACCCCGAGTGTATAGTATTGTATTAAAAGTATTTATGAGAAATAAGCATTTTCATTCGTACCAAGGTAATGATTCTAAAAGAAGACAGACGTATTTGAGATAATTTATAAAAAATATACAAAGATAAATATTGAGGTGAATTGGAAAACGAAATTGTGGAAACAGCAACCGTAATACGATTGTAAAACTCATTAAAAAACAAAAACAAACAAATTTTCTCAATTAAATTATAAAGACAACGGAATACATCGCTAATTCCAATCCATAAGTATTTTTAACAGAAAATACCTAAATATTGTCCATAATATGGTGGATGCTCCGCAAAACCCAAAATTTGAATTAGAATAACTTCATTAATTACTTACTAAATGTATTAAAAATTGAAATCTAAAATGCCTCTATCAAATTAAATTTGGATTTTCCATTTAGTTATTGAGGTGGTATTTTCTCCAACGCTACGACGGAATATTGAGGGAGGACAAGAAAAAGGAAATGAAAGGAAAATTGTTCGAAAATCTCGCATCGGAATTGAGAAATATTTGCATTAATTAAAACGAATTTGAATAAGGTAATTGCTGTGCCTGAAATTGTTGCTCTGTAATTAACGGAAATTAGTTTTTCGTCTAATGTTAAAAAATGTATCAAACTATCAAAAAATAGAAAAGGGTGGATCAGCTTGCGGATACCAAGGAACTCCCCCTAGTAGAATCCTTTAATACAAAAGAGTGTTATGAAAGTCTAATTGATGTTTGGGGCAAAATTAAAAATGAGTTATTACATTTTTAATTTTCAATTTTGAAAGTTTTTTTAAATTTTCGATTGCAATACTATTTTATATGAGATAGGGCTAGTTTCATTAGACTAAGGAATGGTAAAAATTCTATAGCGGTTTAGGAACATAGCATGGGAAAATCGGAAAAAGCCGTGGAGGAAAAGATGGAGGAAGGTCAAAAGAATGGAGAATGTCAACTAGACGTGTTCAAGAAGACCAGCCTATTTTAAAGAGGAAACACTCATCCTAGAAATAATTTTGATGGAGCTTTGACATTGTGAAAGAAAAAAGTTATAAAGTTAGTCAGTCAGTCAGTAACTCGTTTATTAAACACTTGCTCCCCTCAGCTCAAATCAAACCAAAAAATGTCTGTTAATTACTAATTTCTCTCTTTAAATATCCCCAAAATTTCCTCAAAATAACCATAACTTGAAATATGCGAACTGATATTGTATGACACATTGACTATAATTTTAAACTACATAATAGTGATATGGTGGTAATTTCGCCATATAATGTGCTGAAAGTATTCCTGCAACTCATATAATTAGTAAATTATTTGTTATAAGAATACCAATCATAAACACCGGGTTCATTGTATTGACATCCTTACTTTTTTATTGAAATTATCGTCATCTCCACTACAAACATGTTTAATCCTGTCTACATGCTGTTTCCAGTTTTTTTCTGTTATCTTTAATATTTTCGTTAAGCTCAAATGTGTCAAAATTTTTTTCTGATGTTCTTTTTTGGTCTCTTCTTGTACAGCACTCATAAAATTTCATTTCTTTTTTCTTTCTTTAAGGTTGTGGTATGTGAAAGTTGGCACAGCCTAGATTTGTAAAATTTGAATTCTGGTTCGTTCCTAGTTTTGTACTTTAACGTTCTTGTGACTGTTACATTTATGCGGGCACATAAACAATCACATATCAAATGAAAACTTGTGTTTGTAATCAAACAATCTAGGCATTATCTTTAAGAAATCTATAACGAAACAACACTTTGACACAAAAAACAAAAACATTCATTTTAAAAAAAACAGATGATTTGAATGTTCTCAGCTACATTTCAAATTCTTTCAGGCTATAGAAAGCATCGACCGGCAGGAGCCTCTTCACGTAATTTTTAAATTGCTATGTTGATAATTTTTTTAGGCTTGGAGGAAGCAAAATATAAGAATTATGGTCCTGAATAATTTATTGGCCTTTAATAAAACATATGACTGAGTTTTGGTTTCAAGAACATTATTACGGGTATATTAATTGTGGACTTTTGTGAATTAAATATTCATGTTATTGTGTAATTAAGGGTATTTTAAGTAGACATATGCGCAGCATTGTTTTTATGCATTTGAAGTACCTCTTTACAGAATTGTCTCAAAGAGGGTTTAAAAATTAACCCACAAATCATGTTGCGTTGAGATGTTGCATCTGAGATATTAATAGTATATTATGCAACAAGTGGGGTAAATGGTGTTCATTAAATGCTCGCTCCGCTCGTGCTAAATAAACTCGTAAGTCAAATGCCGTTTACCACACTTGTTGCATCAAATTCTATTTTTTTTACCCTTCTGTACAATACCTAATTATACAGCGATCTAGCGTGCGGAAAGCGTCACTTTACCACTTCAGTTTCACGGATCCGAGCCACTTCGGACATTCCTGGAATTTTACCGCCGGGCTTGGGAGTAATCGGATATTTTCTGAGATTTTACCGCACGGCTTGGATTTTGACGTTTGGCAATTCTAACGAACATGTGCGTGAATGTATTGTGTGTATAAGAAAAACCAGCCGTAGTACAAAATAGCATATTATGCAACAAGTGCGGTAAACGGCATTCGACTCACGAGTTTATTTGACACGAGCGGAGCGCAGCGGAGTGTCTTAAAAAAGTTTACCGTGTTGTATGTATACTGTACTTTTTCTACGACCGTCAATTTTTGGGAACATTTTCGCAAAACAACAGGAATATGACCTTCAGAATTGACAAACGTCCAAATTCAACGTGTGCGAAATATCTCCGAAAACATCCAATTGCCCTTGTGGTAAAATCGAGGAAATGTCCGAAGCGGCTCGGATCAGGGGAGAACGAAACTGACGTGCTAAAGTGACGCTTCTCGCACGCTAAATCGGTGTGTAATTAGTGTGTATATGTAACACAACATTATAGCTAGCTTCATTAGGTACCATCGTCTCCAAAAACGTAACTTTCATTTCCCATAACTTCTCGTGACAAAAACAACAAATATCCAGAGCAACTTACTGCATGTAACACTGGAATGAGTAGTAACACAGCATTATAGCGTTCTTGATTGATCTTGGTAATTGTTAGGCACAATTGTCACCAAAAATGTAGCTTTCCTTATAAAGAATTTTTCTTGACATACACAAGAAATACTGGCAGCGGATTACAGCTAATTTGAAAAGGAATTATTTAGGAATTCCATGTAATTACATAGAAATTCCGAAGACCTTCAGAGGAAATTCAATAATTCTGGGAAGAAATCCATAGGAAACTCAAGAATTATAAGAAGAAATTCAGAGGAAATCTTAGGAATGCTGGGAATAATTCCAGATGAATTATAATTTATTTTGTATTCGACGGCTGACTCAGAAGTAAATTCCTCTGAGACCTCGCAGTTGAAACAGGATTTATTCTTGTTCCTGTCTAGCGTCGTTGCAGGAGCGACAAAAACCAAAATCCATTGTCTAGCAACAAATCGACGGGCTTTAACAAGATCTCTGCAGCATCTCGTAATTAGACGTTGGCTGGATTACCGCCGTTTCCGGGAAATGATGGAGCTGGAAAAAGGCGACAGTTATAAGTGACGTACAAAGCCCGATCGTTTATTTGACGGTGGCAATTCCATTGTAAACTTTAATTCTCGGGATTTATGCGCCAGGAGGACTTATTTCATCGGAGTAATCTCGAAAATGGAGCGAAGACTCTGTCGAAAGGTATGTGGAAAAAAAATTATTTGACCGGAAGCGTCGAATGTCTATCACAAATTTTTTAGCACAAATAATCCCGAGTTTGAGATATGTTTTCTTAAAACTTGCTTAATCGATGTTGAGGCGCAAATTGCTCTAAAGTCATCTGCGTCGCGGACTATTTACTCTTTTATTCGAGCGAATCGAGAAAGAAAAAACTTGGAGCTACTCGAAAATGTACGAGATTCCTTCTACTTTGTTTGCGAAAGCGAACTTTCTGCCTTCAAACTTATCCGGGGGGTATGTTGCGTCTTATCTCGTCCGCATTCGATACGACAAACAAGTTTATTTGCCGTCAACTTGAAATCTTCCGTCACCTCGTTTATTTTTTAGTTATCAATTAAATTGCTTGCTAGGAAATAAATCAGAAGGCGTTCTGGAGTTAGGATTAGAGTGTCCTTTTTTCGGGGCCATTTTTTGTTTGCGAGTTTGTTATTCACGTGGGAATATCAATCTCAGCTGTTAACTTCTAGGCCTAGAAATAAATATTATCTCCTCATGTTGTTACGAAAACACAGAATAATAACTAGTTTTCTTTATTTTCTTTGAAACATTTTTCACTAATGGAAAAGGTAACTGTACACTTTAATATGGCAACTTTTTCTTCTTCTTCTTCGCCATTTTCCTTTACAGTTCACTTACATTACAATACACTGGAGGTTCCCATTCCAGTACTCGTTTTGTCTTCTAGTATTCGTGTACGTGACCATACCATTGTAATGCTTTGTTTTCTAATTTCCTTGTTATCGAGCATTCTATTGCCAATCGTAGCCAAATTTCTTCAGTTCTTATTTTGTCTTCTCACAAGTTCAATTCGACCGTTCTTATTTTGTTTCTTATCGTTGGTGTCATTGGCCATACTTCTGCTCCATATAAAGTGATATTTTGTATTATGCTTTGGAAGATTATTTTTTTGTTTTCCTTAATAAGAGTATTGTTCCCGATTGTGGTTTGTTTTCCTCGTGAAATTTTTGTCTCTATATCCCTTAAACATGTACGATCTTGGTCTGTTCTTTTAGCTTTCTTATCAAGTATTCCATGTCCTCTTTTTCCTGTGCAAAAATAACTTGATCATGCGCGAAAAGAGCTGAATGGAATATATTTCCTTGTATCCGTATGTCCATCCTTCTCCACTTGTTATACCATCTCTTTAAAGCTATATATATATATATATATATATATATATATATATATATATATATATATATATATATATATATATATATATATGATGACACTATATTCGCTCGTTGAACTCCGACTGG